ACGCAATTGTGGTTCCAAGACTTGCTGTGTACGCCGCTGCCATCAAGACCAAGGGATCGTTCATGGAAAACATTTTTGGTTTATCGACGGCACGGCAGCAAGTTTGAGACGTGCCGTATTACTCAAAAGCGAGAACGAGCCCGTGCGAAGTTTTCGGACCTCCAGCGATTGATCTACAGTGGCCACAAGAGGAGGCATTGCCTCAACTTTCAAGCAGTGACCACACCGGATGGACTCTGTGTGCATTTTTGGGGACCCGTTGAAGGATGCAGACACGACACGACTCTCTTGCGGCTTAGCAAACTTGAAGCCTTTTTTATTCACGCCATGACGCATTTCGTGACTTTCTGGTCTAGTCTACGGTGATCCGGCGTATGGGGTCCATCAATGGATTTGCTCCGGGTACAAAGGCACTCACTTGGACGAACGAATGTCCGAATTCAACTCGAACATGAGCATGAGTAAAGTCCGTCAGGCCGTTAAATGGTCGTTTGGGATCATGAAGAAGAACTCGGCAATGGTTGGTTACAAGATGCAGCAAAAAATAATGCTGCAAAACGTCGGCAAGGTGATTATAATTGCAATGTTGTTCACTTATTGCCACTGTTTCTATTATAGTGGGAATCAAATTAGCCGCTATTTCAACCTTACTCCACCGACGTTGGAGCAGTATTTGCAGACAATCCAATGTAACATAAGTGAAACTTAATTAGCGGTTAAACAAATGAGTTGCATCATGTCGTCATTTCGTTTTCTGTCGTCCTCACGTTGCTGAATTCGCTCAAGTCTATCCATTTCTCGTTCTTTGAGCTCCATTTCTCGTTCTTTGAGCTCCATTTCGAACTTGTACTTCTTGAACTCGAGGCGTTCCTGCTCAAGGGCGATTTCACGTGCTTGAGTCTCAAAAATGGCCTTGCGTTTGCGACTCAAAACATCACTGTCAGTAGAGTCATCACCCTCAAACGACGTACGACGTCCACGCAACATTGGTCCCGCACAAATCCTGCAGCCGCCTCCTTTTCTGCTGCCTTGGCAGCCGAGGATGTTCGCTCTGCTTGGCGCTGGACGCAGGCTTCATCGAAGAGCTGGACAAGCTCATCCAGAAGGATGATCTTGCCTGTCTCGTCTTGTTCAACGCCGGAGAGGTACTTTGAGCTTTCTTGAAACTTCTTGTGTACTCGTATCAACTGGTAGAAGCGGCTGGAAGCCTTCTTGCCGTCCAAGCCACTTCTACCAATTCCGGGCACTTGGCGCAACTTCATCCAACGGCATCCCACGCTTTCATCGCGTTCTTCGCTTGCTTGAAGGGCAGGTCGATGTTAACTTGAGTCAATAGACTCAAGTCGCCAGCGTCGCTCCACCACTTGCGAGCCTGTTGGCCTTCTGTGAAGTCGGACGCATGAACGTCGCTCATGGTTTGATCGTGCAACCAGTAGTGTTATTCGGATACAGCGGATGGTCAGCTCGCCACAAACTCGAAGGACTTTACAGCCGATGCAACAAGTTTTAGCAGGTTGGCTGCAAATTTATCAATACAAAGAGAATCGGTTGCGGATAGAACAGAACTGCAAGTTGCGAAATCTGTCTAGTAAATTCAAAAGAGTTTCAATAACGTTAGTATGCTGCACTACAGTGAACGAGAGAAATTAAGCCACACCGACGTTTGAGCGTTACCCTTTCGTAAATCTACTCATCAACAGTCATGCACGGCCAAGAGAGTGATCACTGACCTCGATAGTACCAGGATTGAGTTCGTCCGAGAGTTCCATCTGAAGCATGGCGGGAATCCCGACGACTGCGTCTACAATGTTGATGAGACCGGCATACAATTCGACATACCCCCACGGTATATCTGGTCACGAAAAGGCAGCTACCTAAAGCTAACAAAGGGAGAAAAACACTCAACAATCCGACGCGATGGACTCAAGCTGCGAATCCTCTTCGTCATCAAGGACAAACTAGGCGGCTGTATCCAAAAGAACGAGTTTCTGTCGTATCCAGAAGGCCACTACTACGCGATGCAAGAAAAGGCCTGGATGGGCGCAAGTGAAGTGTTCGAGGCTGTGAGTCCAAGCTGGATGGCGTGGCTTCAGCC